AAATATAAATGCTAACTTTGGCCAGTGTTTGTGACTAAGTGGCTACTATAAAAGACTGGGCATACTCCATATTGAATACCCTTGGTTGTCTACTTTAAAAAAAATATGTACATGTGAGGTGTGAATCAGAGATTTATGACAGATAACAGTGTTACAATGTCACTATTGATACATTTTGAAAAGCAATGTCCTACTTGGACTTATAGCCCTACAACTTGCAAAAAAAGCTAAAAACATGTTAACATTGGGTATTTCTAAACTCAGGACAAAATTTTGAAACTATTTAGCATGGGTGTTTTTTGGCGGTTTTTGGGGGTCAAAGTTAGAAAAAGTGTTTTTTTACATTTTTTCATCATATTTTGTAATTTTTTTTATAGTAAATTATATGATATGATGAAAAGAATGGTATCTTTAGAAAGACCATTTAATGTCGAGATAAACGGTATAATATGTGTGGGTACAGTAAATGAGTAAGAGGAAAATAACAGCTAAACACAAACACAGCAGAAATGTAAAAGGAGCCCTGGTCCTTAACGCTCAGAAAATTGAAAAACAATCTGGTCACTAAGGGGTTAAAGACATTCCTCTGCGTATTATTGCTGTGGAGCTCTGCTACACACTCAGACACACCAACAGTGTGGAGTTGCTAGAAAAGTGGGACATTAGGATAGAAAAAGATACAGGGGTATTTGGGCCCATGGTAGGTACTGTCCCTCCTAAATAAGGACACTTGGGAGGTATGGTGTGTTTCATGCTCATTCTGAGGACATTGGGTTGTTAAGCACTACATTTAAGACATTATTACTGCAGTTTACACCAATTGCTGCTGTTACCACCATTACATGGTTTTTACAGCTGATGATTTTGGGTACCTCTCATGGATGAATCTGACCTACGCAGTTACAAATGTTACTCATACCTCATGGTGTTTTCACATTATATCTAATTACACATTGTCTGGTGAAATGCTTCTCAAAGAGAAGCACTAAGGCCAAATCATCATTCAAAGTCTTCTCATAAATGGGTGGCTTTGTTGAAATTTGTGTATTTGTATAAAAAAATATATATTAGGTCTGTGTTACTTTAAGTTCAATTTAAAAAAAAAAAATTAAAATATATTTAAAATGGTATATATTCTAACTCCCTCAGCCAGTATCTCACTAACCATGACAGAAATTGTAGTCCAGCAGGGGCAGTAAATGCATGCACTTAATTATGGGACATCATTTCCAGCAGAGTCCCTTGTGTTTATTTGTTTGCTTTCTGGCCTCTGCACCTATAAAGGACAGAGGTCACAAAACAGAACTTACTTACGCTGAGTGCTGGGCAGCAGGAGGTCTGACATTGTGTCTACCCAGGTATTCGCAGCCTCTTCAAGCTGTCTAGGTTAGCACGTTGTGTGTGCTGACATCTGACACAATAGTTGGATAAAACTGATATTGCTAGCCAGGAAGAGTATTCCAGCTGGCTGATTGACAGCCCAGGGAGGCAGAACTATACACTGAAAAAAGCACATTTGTCTCAGGAAACATTTTTAAAAACAAAGATTGCAGGAATAGGGTGTTTTCAGTATAACCACTTCCGTAAGATAAGGTGGTCGCGGTACTTAGAGTAACCCTTTAACATTTAGGCACACTAAGATCTAAAATTCTTACCTGATCAATCACTTTAAAGATGTTACAGGCAGCGCCTCTTGCAACAGAAAATGCCTCAAGGTGAGAAGCTGCCTGTCCAATGCAATAGCTGCTCAATACAACACAGAAGAATACCTGTTGTGAAAAAAAAGATACTTGCTAATCAGTACACTCTAAATATTTTGCTAATAATTCCTTTGTGGATAATATGTTATTTTGATTCTAGAAATTATCAAAATATATTTACTGTTGCTAAGTTCACAGATCAATGAGCTTAATGTTTGAAACTGAACAGATTCTGGTGCTGTTGATAATGTATATTTAATTTCCCAAAATGCAAAGTAACCAGCTTAGAATCATGGGAAATGTGTACCTCAATATAAGTACCACCAAAGGTGAGCTCATGCTGAGGTATACTAGGGTATGCGCAGTAAAAGCTAGTTCTAGTGGTTTGGGGGTGCTCTATGTAAATATGCAAGCTTAGGAAATAGCAGCTATCACATTTTCACAGTAGCTAAACTGATACAGGGTGTTTAACACAATTTAAATAAAATAATAATGTGTGGAAGTCCTGGATGCTTTGTATTCCCAATAAAGCTTTAAAGTACTTACCACAAAAACATCTCCAATGGATGGTGTACCCTTTGTCTCCCAATATCAGCTTGGTGCCATACCAAAATCCAAGGCCATATGGTGCATAAATAATGAAGTACATAACGCCAAGGGAGAAATGAGAAGTAATAGATTTTTTTATTCCATATTTTTTGGCCTCTTCCAAATTGTTTGCATATCTAGGGGGTAGTGCAGAGAGCAATACAATATTAGCTACATTGTTACCAGACTTTTCTTTTACATTCACCATAGAGCCATGTCAGGGTTATTCCCTAAAGGGGAAACTAAAAGTGGATACAAAGTCAATTTCAAACTGGAAGCAAAACTAACTTACAGAATGTTTCCATTTTGGCTATTTTGATTTTAAATTGATTATACAGCCAGAAAAAACAACTTTTGCTTGATGCAGAGGTGTAACTACAAACCATGGGGCCCTGGTGTGAAAATTGCCCTGCCTCCCCCATATGTCTCAGCCTTCTCCGCCCCTCCATGTGTCACATTCACACCTCCAGCCGCCCCTCTATGTGTCACATTCACACCTCCAGCCGCCCCTCCATGTGTCACATTCACACCTCCAGCCGCCCCTCTATGTGTCACATTCACACCTCCAGCCGCCCCTCCATGTGTCACATTCACACCTCCAGCCGCCCCTCCATGTGTCACATTCACACCTCCAGCCGCCCCTCCATGTGTCACATTCACACCTCCAGCCGCCTCTTCAAATATTTCATTCACACCCCACAGGGTGAGTGTGGCATGGTTGGGGGGATGAGTATGACAGAATTGGAGTAAAAGGGTGAGTGCGGCAGGATGAAAGGGGGCGAGTGTGACAGAGTGATGGAGAACGATGTGACAGGATTGGTGGGAGGGGAGAGTGTGACAGTGCTAGAGAATGATGAGTGTGATAGGGTGAATATGGCAGAGCTATGGAAGGTGAGCATGGCACGGGAAAGTGACAGGATTGGGGGAGGTATTGGGAGTGTGGCAGGGTGAAGGGGGCTGACAGTATGTGTGGTTGGGTGACAGTTACACAGACACACATGCAGATAAGCACACAAACACACACTGACATCCATGCAGATACACACCATAGAACACATACAGATACATACACGAACACATGCTGATACACAGACACATATGCAGATACTGTGGGGATATTTATGGGATAATAATAGTAACAGTTGAGAATTGCCCACTAATTCAATTCTCAGATCCCAAAGAACGTTTATCGTGTTAAGTGGAATGTATTTCATATAATAATATCACAATGTATAAAAATAGATTTTATTTATATGACAAATTAATTAATAATAACATGTAACATGCATGACAATAATCAATGAATATCCAGTATAAAATGATATGCAATACAAAGGAATGGGTATTACGTTTCAATGGCTAAATAGCATTTTCTGTCAGGACTTTATTTATGAGGTATCCTCACAGACTGAAAAAGTTTCACTCAGAGAACAGAATTCTTCAGAGTGCAGCGTAAGGTCGTAAAGTTTAGCAGACAGTTAGAATAACCCTTTCAATGCTGGCTAGATCTCCTAGGTAGTTAAGATCTATTCTTATGTAATTTTAAATAAAATAACATTTAAACCAGTTCATTAGTCATTTCCTGGAACCATCCAATAAGAGAATCTACCATATTATATAAGCAGATTTTTAATTCGCCTAATAAGATATCTTATCTTAATTTAGAGCAATTCAATACACCTGGATAACAACAGCGGTATGCTAACACGTGATAATATCACATCAATATATAATTATTCTTAATTCCACCTGCAGAATGGAATGTTTATAACTATATATTCTTTAGTTAACTAAGATTTCCTAATATGGAAATCTGACCGTGCTTTATCCAGTCATATATAATGCTATTAATACATTTTAATTAATTTAATTAATTAAATGAAATCAGTATAATTACCAGTTGAGTAGATATTTCATCCGATTGGTAGTCTCAGGAACTTATTTAGATGTCTCTCTGCATGGAGGTTGGAGTCCCCAAACTTCCAATTCCTCTCTCCTCTCTTCCTTTCTCCTTTGCATCTCTTGCATACCCTGCATACCCTGTCTTCCCTTTGTCTTAACTTTTAAAGGGCCAGACTCTCTATACGTCATCAGTTGATAACCCAATAGAAGCACTAGAGGTGTGGTTATCTTCCAGATCGCAAATTAGTTATTTGGTCTATAGAGGGCAGTCTTGTCCCACTAAACATACCTATCCAGGAAAGAGTTAACTTTTCCTGGTGGCTATTTTGACGTCATTTTGCGTTATCTTTATAGTGCCATAATTTAAAATTTCAAAGGGTTTCTTAAATTTTGTCCAGACTATGTGTCTGGTAAATCTGCTATAATTTCTGATATGGCAGATCATGAACTAAGTTTACCCTTTTCCATACAATGGTACCTTATATATATACAGACAGTAAAATTAAATTATTTAATCTTCTCTGTCACAATTGTCTGGGTTTAGATTTGATTATATTCTTCTTATCACTTGTTTATACTATGCTATGCATTCCTTAGCTCTGGCAAAGTGGCTAGTCTTACAGAAAGAAATCTTGTGTCTTTTTTTTTGTTAACTTGGAATAACAAAATGGAGTCTGGTCTGTTCAGAGTGACTCAGAATATACACTTTTAGTTTCTATCATAGCACAAAATGTCTGCCGATATAAATACCCTGACATAACCCCCCTTTAGTGCATTTCATAGCCAAAATTAATTTAGCTTATGAATAAGCACTATAGAAGTTATCAGACATATTGTGCAATCACATCATTTCTAACATAGGCCCGTGCGTGGAATGAACATTTTTGTATCTATTTGTACCTGTAATAGTTTTGAACTTTACCCTTAGTACAATCAACCATAATATCATTATTATCATAATACATTGTTTTCATTTGAAAAATGTCTTTGGGAGTTACATATGGTATGGCCAATAAAAAGCAAATCTCCATACGTTCCGGATCAATTAAGAGAGGTATAGCGCTCCCCATCTCAAAGGCCAGATTTAATTGCATAGGCTCAATTGTCTCTCCATCCACATTGGCAAGCATCGCATGAACAATATCCTTGGATACAAAATACAGAGGTATGCGTCCCCCTGCCAATTCGATCATTCCAGTTTGCACTTCGTCGAGAAAAGCAAGTGTGTGGAACAATATTGGGTCATGCAGAAATAGAAGTTCATATATAAGTTCAATATAAGTCATGACTTTGGTGCAACTCAGTGGATTTGGCAATTAACTCCGAATGCAAATTTGTTGTAACAACTGTGTCTTCCACAATAGTTAACACGTCTTGGAGAAGTGTTCTTTGCTGGTTTATCACCTGATGAATATCGTTAATGTGTTGCTTTAGCGCATAGATTTCCATATCCAGCTTTTGGACAGTAATAGAGTTGGCTGCAGACATTCCAGTTGCGACAACTGCACCGACAGTGGCACAAACTAATGCAACAATTATAGCGGTGAGGAACCTTTTGGGTCGGTTGCTCATCGGAATAGAACTGGATACAAATGGTTTCCGGGCTTGCTCCAAGATGTTTCGCACACGGTCCTGTGCTCTTTGGAGGTGCATCTGGTACCAAGTCTGTAACTCAGGAAGCTGCATCGATGAAATGTTGTATGCCTTCTCGATGGAAATCTTGGGGTCCAAGCTGACGAACACACGTCGGGTCAGGATCCTCTTCTCCGTTAAGATGAACCCTGGTATCTCTTGAATCAGGATGCCGGAGGATGGTCCCATCTCTGCGATCGGGTCGGTCCGTAGCTCTTGGCACAGGAGCAGTACGATCCAGAAACACGCCACATCCTTCTTGGACATCTTTCGACAGTCACGGATCAGGAACTCGTTTCAGACTTATCTACTAATGATTCAAGGTTTGTTAAGCATACAAACTTATAACAGTGTGATATCACTTGGCCTAGGACAACACATTATTACGATTCATCAACATATGTATTCTCTATAATTCTATTTTTATAACTTCATCCCTCACTACATTTATTACGGACTCCTCAGCAATTCGCCTATAGCAGTTAAACAAGCTAGTAACCTGCTTAGAAAATGTAGTTATTGGATGGCAAGGAAATGGTTAATGACATGAACGTACATGAGATCATGGCACATCACAACAATTCACATCATACTATACCACGTGAATCAAGCATTCATCCAGGTTAGTCGTTCACCCTTCTGCGTCTGAATCCACACCTATAATCCTTAATTGAGATTTAGGATGACAAGCACGCAGCTGGTTAATGTGAACCCACTTTTCAATAAAATCACCATCCTTAGGAATTTTTATCTTATACGCTACTGGGGAAATTTTGTCAATGATGACATATGGCCCTTTCCAAGAAGGTAAAAATTTATTTTCCTTGACTTGGTTTCGCGCAAAGTTATACAGATAGACTTGATCTGTTATCTCATATTCCTTTTTCGTGGTTTTTAGATCGTAATAGGTCTTAACCCCTGTCGCTGCTTTTTCTAGATTCTTTTGGGCAAAAGCAAACGCATGCTGTAAATGCTTGCGCAAATCTTCGATATACTGATGCGTAGTGGCAGCATTGATCAAGTTATGATCCGAAGTACGATATAGTAAATGCTGTGGTAAAACCATCTTTCTTCCTGTCATCAATTCAAAAGGTGACAATTTGGTAGCAGTGCTAGGTGTAGCTCTAATCGCCATTAAAACTAGGGGCAATTTAATGTCCCAGTCTTTACCAGACTCCTTAACATATTTCTTCAGAATATTAACGATAGACTGGTTATATCGCTCTACCCCCCCGCTAGACGCAGCGCGGTATGCAATATGTAGCTTTCGTTTAACACCTAGAATGTTCCACATCTTAGCCATTACTTCGCTGGTAAAATGACTACCTCTGTCTGACTCAATTCTTTGAGGCAGACCGAACCTGGAAAAGACATGGTTAATCAACAAAGTGGCGCACACGGTACTCGTGTTCTCTTTACAAGGCAAACATTCTATCCACTTTGTGTACATACATGTAACGGTTAACATGTATTTGTTACCTCTTGAAGATCTTGTTACAGGACCTATAAAGTCAATTTGAATATCAGACCAGGGTAATGACACCCCCCTCTTCTGAAGTGGTGCACGATGGGTTGGACCATGGGGTTGATATTGCGGACAAATCAAGCATCCCTGACAGTATGTCTTAACATCCCTTAACATGTGTGGCCAATATGCATAATCACGCAATATCTCATATGTGATCTTATCACCACGATGCCCAGATGTAGGTGCATCATGTGCGTGTTGGAGCATTAACCCTCTGTATACAGTTGGGACTACCCATTGTTGTATATCATGTTTAGAAGTTCTGACCAGTAACCCATCCATGATACTAAATTGGACTTTATATCTCATCAAGATTCGTAAATCTTCATTATTTTTGCAAACCTCATCTGTGATGGGATTGGCAGTAGGGTCTTCTATATGTTTATAGAATATGCCTATGACGGGATCATTCTTTTGACTAGTAATCAGGTCCTCACTAGGAGCTTCTTGACTCCATTGCACGACATTTAAGTCGGCATTATCTCTAGCCTGTCGTCTAGTTATGGCTTCAACATGAATTGAACCCATAAGATCATCAATGTTTAGGGTTTCACCATTGATGGCAGCTTGTTTTGCCAGTGAATCAGCTAAGCCGTTACCATCCTTATCAATACCTTCTATTTTAGAATGGCCTTTGGTTTTCTTCCAATATATGGTTAGTCCATTTTCCTTAACCAACTCATCGATTTTACAAAACAATTTCCCATGTTTAACAGGTTTGTTATTGCTTTTCAGCATTTGGTTACGTTTCCAGCTAGGCAGATATTCGACGAAACTGTTGCGAACATAGTTGGAATCAGTTATAATAACAAATTCTTTGATACTATATTCTATTGCCATTTGAATGGTCTTATATACTGCACAGAGTTCGGCTATCTGACTGCTTTTGGGACCAATATTGTATCCTATAGATACATTGGGATAATCACCTGTCCAGGCGATTCCGATACCTGCAACTAACTTCCGTTCAGCACCAACGACGTGGTGATATGAACAACCATCAATGTATACCCACGGTAGTGGTCGACAGTATCCCTCGTCATAAACTTTATAAGGAGATAGCAATTGCTCTTCTAGGAAATCATCTCCGGTGTCATTATCATCCAGAGATGGAGCAGTACAGTCATGTAATTCTGCTAAACCTTGGGCAACTGTGCTTCTCTTATTATGTTTATAACGGACTTCTAACGGCCATCCCTGTAAGAATAGAGTCCATGTAGTAATCCGACTGTTAGAGAGATTACCGTCTCTAATTCTTTCACTCTGCAGATACTGTAGAGGTTGGTGAGCTGTTTCTACAATTATTTTCTCACCTTGGATATAGCTACGAAAATTTTGTAGTGCCCAGACGGTCGACAATAACGCCTTCTCACACGTGTTGAATTTAACTTCAACAGGTGACAAAGTCTTGCTAGCATATGCAATAACTTTGTTTAAACTGTCCTGCTTCTGATACAGAACAGCACTGATGCTTAAATTGGTATAACCTGTCTCCAGATAGAAGGGTCTACCCCCCTCTGGGTATGCTAAACAGGGTGCCTGAGTGAGCTTCCTCCTCAGTTCACTTACCGCTTGGTCCTGAGGCTCCCCCCAGTTCCAGGTAGTTTCCTTTTTAAGCAGGTGTAAGAGTGGTTTTGTTATTTCTGCATAGTTATCTATAAACTTACGGGAGTAATTAGTCATACCAAGGAGCGATCTTAATTCCCTGATGTTTGAAGGTGTTTTAGCCTTTAGTACGGCTTCAACCTTCTTCCTCTGGGGATTTAATCCTTCAGAAGTTACCTCATGTCCGAGGAAATTGACATGGGTGCGACACCATTGTGCCTTTTGTAAAGACAGTTTAATTCCTGCCTCTCTTAACTGAGTGAGAACATGTCTAATCTCTAAGATATGCTTATCAAAGGAAGTGCTTTTCAGCAAGACATCGTCGACATATGATAACGTTCTTCTCTCGAGTGCGTCAGGCATAGCTTTATGCATGAACACAGCGAATTCATGACCAGAGTTTATATAACCGAAAGGCATACGGGTCCAGGTATACTGCTGCTTTCCAAATGTGAAGGCCAATTTGTATTGGTCTTCATTATGAACTGGTACAGTCCAATATCCCTGCGCACAGTCAATGGCAGTGAATATTTTGGATCCCTGCATTTGTACCAAACATTGGTCCATGTATGGCGTTGGCCAACCAGACATATAGACGCGTTTATTTAGCTGTCGTAAGTCAGCGCATAAACGCCATTGTCCATTAGGTTTCAGAAACCCCAAGATCGGATTATTATACGAACTGTGCACTGGACGTATAATGCCCCTTTCCTTTAAATTCTGAATGATGTCTTGTAGACCATCATATGACGCTAATGGGAGTCTATATTGTTTGATAAATACAGATGGTAAATTTGGATCAGTTTGTATTCTGGCTACGTGGAGGTTAGTTAATCCACAGTCGTAGGAATCTTTGGCAAAAATATCTTGGAATTCCAAAAGGATTTCCTTTAGCTGTTGCCGCTCAGCATCGTTGGAGCAACCGTCAGCTAAAGATATTTGCTCTTCTAGCCTTTCCTGAAATCCTGGAAAGATTTCGGGCTGGCCTATCTCATAAGCTTCTTCAAGCCTAGAAGTTAGGTCAGTTCGGTGTTGACTTACCTTTTCTCTTTGGTCGAGATACTCTTGTGATTCCTGCTCATCGAGCGGATAATCGAAGGTGATAGATGCTTCTTCGATTTTGGACGAGCCTTCTTCAACGTTGAAGGGATATACAGATAGGATAGTGAATAATCCTTCTGGGGAGGAATGGAATATTTGATCGACAATTTCGTCCTCAGTTAAGTATTCTTCAGGGATGAGGCCTATAATTTGGTTTTGGAAACCGAATGTATAGTACTCAGCATCCAATGCTAGACCTAATAATGTTCCTTTTGGTAAAGTAACACTATTGGGTGTAACATTGTTGACCATGATATAGGTGGGATTCTTACCAATACTTACCATTGGTGTATGTGTTACCACCATCCCTAATTGTTGTATCCTGTTAGATAAACAGATTAGGGCATCAGAGTTTTCCAATCTCTGACCTTCCTTGACCTGTATGGGTAAAAGAAAATTACTTGTCCCCTGTGGAATGGTTATGTCATCAGGAACTTGGATACTTACCGCATATGGGAGTATTTGTCCTGATTTCAGGGCGTTTTCCTCGTGTAGGTATCCACAAGGATTACCTTTTAACCTTGTCCACAAGTTAGAATTAATCAGGTCAAGGTGTATGGCAAAGCGATGTATGACATCATTGCCAACGTAAACCTGATAGCGAGGTTCGTCTATCACTAGGAATAAATGTTTAACTGTCTTATTTCCGATGGAAATAGATAGTAAACACTTTGCTATCACATTGTGACTCTCTGATTCGCCATCCAGATTCTGGATCCACCTGTCATGTGGGGAAGCGTACCTGATCATTTTAGGATTAGCGATCTGCTTTAACAGACTTCTGCTAATATAGCTGTTCTCACGCTGTAAGTCCAGCTTTGCATTCCTTCTTCTTCCTAAGTCATTTATTTGCATAGGAAAGAATAAGTTGTTATTAACCCTTTCAATTCTGGCAAGGAATTGTGCATGACCTGCCAGATCTACAGATTCAACATAGTCCCTGTGGAGAGAAATGGTTAAAACATCCCCTTCCAGAGAGACATTCTGGATCCTCTCTGGAGCAATTCTTATGGAATGCTCATCTACAGGTGCG